AAGAAAAAAAGAAGTGTGAGAGAGAGACAGAGAGAGAGGCAGTATAAACTATAATAACTACCAGCCAGCACACACTGACAGCTGGCGTATTCTGTTGCAGGAAATATGTCTTCATGGTTGCGATGTTCTTCTCTGTGTCCATACTCAACAACTATGCCCTCAGCTTCCACATCGCCATGCCCCTGCACATGGTCTTCAGAGCGGTAAGTCGGATTTGAAGTCTCGAAATCTCACCGCAGGTTCACTGCATGAGGACTGTGAATTCTGCGTGTATGCATGACGACTCTCATTGATTTGTTCAGGGGTTTTTGAAATTGTACAAGTAGAGATGGACGTGGGGAAACCGAGATATGATTTGCGTACCAATACTCTGCTTGGCAGGGGAGAGTAAAGAAGAGACAAACGGGAAAAACGGAGATGTGACTAGCGTACGCATACGCTGCTTGACAGGTTTTCTGTTTTTTCTTCAGGGGTCTCTTGTAGCCAACATGTTACTGAGCTTAATCATCCTGAAGAGGCGGTAAGTTTTTGTTTGATGGGTACACATAGACTATACCTATATAATATGCAGAACTTTGTTTCGAATGTCCCGTACGTTTGCCTTGCAAGGGTTCATCGCAACTGGAGTGCCATAATATTAAAATTTAGTTCCTTACTAACTTTATTGTTGAAAAACAGCGATTGATAAGTTTGTCAGACCCTCACGGGGTAGTGGCAGTAGATTTATCATGTAGAGACTATTAATAGAGGCGTAGGGATGATCCTGTCCTCCCATACACACGTGCATATTATAATTAAACTTTCTTTGCGTGTATAATTGATTCGGTAAGACGTGCACGTTGCATTGCATTTCACCCGCAGGTACAAGGCATCCAAATACGTTGCTGTAGCCATGGTTACGGCAGGCATAGCCACGTGTACGATTGTGTCCGGACAACAAGTGGTAAGTTCTGGAATAAAATCCCTCATTCGCTCGTTCATGGCGAATATCGCTCTGATCGTAATCATTTGCCAATTACCCGGCATCCAACGATGCCACGATTGTCATAAGTTAGTTACCATCCTAATGTTTGTCTTGCGTTGGCTTGAGTGTAACTGTGTATAACTAGAGTTAATAATAGGGTCGAATACATGGATTAGAAAGTTATCCTAATCATTAAGGATTAGTGTCGAAGGTGCATTGTATCTCTGTTTTGAATCTTGCGTCGATAAACTACGTTTTCGTGTCCCGCAGCATGGAGCGACGGATACATCGGCAAGATGGCTGACAGGTAAGGAGACGTCTATACACCGTGTCAATATTTTCCTCTCTACGTGGAGAGACCCGAGAAATGCATCAGACAGTAGCCACGACAGACTAAAGTAGACTGGCGCCGCACGACGTAGAATCAAATCCAATTGAAGCGCGGACAAAACGGATGTATCCGCGAGAAATATTCAGGGCAGGGCAAAGAAAATTTGTATTTCGTATGTTTACACATTCGAGCATTTTCGTCGCGCGCTTTCGAAAAATTTCGCACGCGATCCCGCAAGTTCGCGGCGCGGCGGGATCGACCACCGGAGGGCGCCACCGTCGCTAACGCTCGTCTCGCCGCTAACGCAGGTATCGGCATCCTGGCGGTCGCACAGCTGCTGGCGGCGGGTCTCGGAGTCTATCAGGAGATCCTCTACGCTCATCACGGCAAGCATCCGCGCGAATCCCTCTTCTACTCGGTGAGCAGACGCCCCCCTCCCTGCCCCCACGCCCGTGCTCGCAGCGGCCATTTTGGTCCAGCAGGGCCAAAATTTTTCCTGTAGAGACGTCAAGTGTTCCAAGATAATAACGTCCTTAAAGCGCACAGACGCTTTCTAAAATTCACGCTAGTGGCAGCGTAAACTGTATATATACTATATATATATATATA